TGGTTGGGAGGTCTTTCAGTGGGTTTGGAAGAGCGAGATTTGAGAGAGTGTTTAGCTTCCTTCGCCATGAGATTGACTCCGACCACTCCGAGCGGTGCTGCTTTCTCTCTTTTCCGTTGGGAGTTTGGTGACAGTGACTGGCTTTTAGCAGAGAATACTGGATTTTGGTTCTTACGTTTGGTTGTGTAATCGATAATAGATTTTATTAATTTTGGCGATTGATAAATAATTGGATGTGTCTTAGAGGTGCCAAAACGCTACGACACGATGTGAAATATGTATGAAGTTAGTGATTTTAAATTTATTATAAATGAGTTTGAGACTGACATGATTAATAAATGAATTTAGTTAAGATTAATTTTGTATTAATATGAATTGACACGATTAATTATATGTGTTATTTATAATCTAATGATATGTGATATAACATAAATGTTTACATGATATATGAAATACAAATAATGTGATTTTAATATTTGTAGGTAAAATTCATTTATTTTTCTTAAAATAAAAGATAAATTAACCAATAAACATGTTAAGCATGTCATGACCGTGTTAAATAAGTCATTATTATATTAATTATTTATTCAATATGTTAATTTAAACGGGTTATACGGGTTGACACGATTAACATGATTAATAAATGAGTCATGTTTGGGTTGACATTTTTAGCACGTTTAATAAATAGATCGTGTTTAGGTTGATGTTGCCTGACACGATTAATAAACGGATTGACACGAACACGACCCATTAACACGAATTGCCACCCTCTAGATGTGTCAATATCTGAGGGCCCGAATTTTGAAACATATCTATTGCGTTCTATAATTTATAATATTTCTCTAAATTTATCCCGCAACTTTGAAGTGCGTTACTTTTAGATGGAATGACAGAGTTGTCATCTGTTCAAGTTTAGGTGCAACATATAGGCCCCGTTCATTTCGCCGATTCGAGTTTTGCTACAGTAAAAAGCTCTCAGAAACAGTCACATTTAACTTTTTTGCTACAGTAAAAAGCTCTCACACAAAATCACATCTCAACTCGAATCAGCGAAGTAAACGGGCCCATAAAGATTAATAAATTCTTTCTAATTTAAATAAAGGTTATTTCGTAGAACATCCTATTAACTTTTTGAATTTAGTAATTTAGTCTTTAAATTTTTTTTCCCGGCAATAAACACTATGAACTTATAATTTTTGACACTTTCAACTCTTATTGTTTAAATTTATTAAAATTTTGTCAGTTTTTTGTACCTAACTTGCAAATGGTAGTCTAATAAGAGCATTGATGTTCATTTTTGTTTAGTTTCAATATAAAATACATTTAAAAACTTGAACTTAATTTAATTATAACTTAAACTTTAATCCAAATTTTAACATGAAATTTTATTAATATCATACAAGAATATCGTCAATGCGCTTTTTAAGCTGTCACTTGTAAGTTTGACACAAAAAACCATCAAAATTTAATGAATTTGAACAATAATGACTAAAAATTAAAAGTTTTGGGAGTTGATTGTCAGAAAAAAAATTTAGACTAAATTATCAAATTCAAAAAGTTCATGAAGTGTTGATATAAAATAGCCTTAAATAAATTAATCAAACGCTAAATTGTATACATGTTTTCTCCTTAAAGTAGTTGCTCAAAAGCAAGAAAACATGAGGAAAAAAAAAAAGTGGAGAAAGATCTGAATTCAATATAGCTTAAAGAAAATAAAAATTTTGGCTGACACAAATGTGTCGCACGTGATAATATGTCTAAAACTAACATGTTTCACTAGTTCAAAGGTGAATTTAAAAACATATTTGAATATCAGAATCAACAATAATTAATTCACACAAATGACATAATTAAGGAGAAAATCATGTGTGACATTACGCATCACGCAATTCCTTTTTTGTTTAAAAAAAAAAAAACTGATACGTAAATTGAAAGATATTTGCTTCTATTCTTTTTTACTACCTTTAATAACTAAAGGAATTAGTACATCATGTAACTATTCTTTTATGTAAAATCTCAAAAGCCCTGTTTGTTTCCGTTTTCATTTCCATTTTTTACGTTTTTTGAGACTAAAAAATGAAAACGGAAATATAAAATGCGTTTGGCCTAAATTTTTTTTAAAAACGAAAACAAAATCGTTTTTGTCTTTTGTGAAAAATTGAAAAAAAAAAAAGATGTTTTCATTTTCTCATTTTCGTTTTCTGAAAACGGATTTCTTTTTTTTTTTCATTTTCTTCTCTCTCTTTTCTGAAACCGTTTTTGTCTTATATAATGATGTTTATTTAATATATTTAATAATATTATTTATTTAATATATTATTATTTTAAATATTATTACATGTTTTCAAAAATTAAACCACTTAACGCAGTTTCAGTTTTTTTTAAAACTGAAATCAATCTCTGAATAAAACTACCAAACGCATTTCAGAAATAATTTTAAAATGAAAATAAAAACGTTTTCATTTCTATTTTCATATAGAAAACAAAAACATTTTGGAATCAATTCCAAACGCACCCAAAATTTTTGTTTTTTATTTTTTATTTTTTTGGTTCTTCTTTTAAAGCAAGGTTTTTTACAGTGGTGTTTATTTTTTACAGTTAAATCTAGCTAAAAATCATATTAAATTGAAAACATGTGCATAACAAATAATTTTTTATCAACATTTGACTATTAAAACAAAAAAAAATTATCAATAATTCATTTTTTCAAGACCTACAATAGAAATCTTATTTTTTAAAGGATTAAAATCTTAAGCTTTGATGCTAAAAATATATGACTCTTTTAGTTCTTTTTTTTTTTAAAGCTAATTATGTTGGTGCACCATGACCTCTATCAGAGTTTAATAATTTAGATTTTTAATTTTTAATTTTGACAGTTGAGACTTTAAATTTGTATATTTATTGTAATTGTAATCCAATAGTAACTAATATCAGTTAATGGCTTGAAATGTATCAAGGTTTTTACGTGAAGGGTTACTGATACTGTGGCTTTTAAACTTTTTATTTTAACATATTAACCCTTAAAATTTCAATTTTTAATAGTTTTAGTCTTTAAAAATAAAATTGATAAATAATTTTTGAAATTTAATGTAAATAATCACATCTTTATAACTTAATAATTAAAAATTTTACTTAAATAGTTACAACATATAAAATGTTATCGCTTTCAATAGGTTTTGATAGTAATAAAGATAGAATTTTATCTATATAATTATTTGTTTGTAAAATTTTATGTTATCATGTAATGAATATATGATTATTTTTGTTTTTTAATCAATTTAAAGAAGACACCAGTGTTAATAACCCTTAAAAATAGGAATGGGCAAAGAAATCTATGCAATTAGCTCCAACTCCCCCACCATACTGACTGACGTGGCATAGATTGATGGCAAAATTAGCAAAGCAAGTTACTGGTGGCGGAGAACAACGAGGCTGAGCCTGAGACTCTGGCTCTCTCTCTCTCTCTCTCTCTCTCTCTCTCTCTCACTACTCACCCGATTATTTAAGCCATGTACAAACCAAAACCTCTTTACTCATTCATTTGCCCTCAAAATTCCACTTTTTCGGTTTTTCCTTCTTACACTCTCTCTCCTACTTCATCGTTAACATCGTCACCTTCCTTTCTCTCTCTAAATCCGCAATGCAAGCAATTCAAGCTCCGACTCTCCGAGTCTCCCCTCTCGACCCGCTCCGCAACCGCCGGCGGAGCCCTCACTTCCCCAGTGCCCGCCCCTCCGCCACCAAGAAGGTCCCCTTCTTCTGCCGCGCCGCCTCCTCCACGGTCTCCGCTCCCAAGCGCGAGAAGGACCCCAAGCAGCGCGTCGTCATCACCGGAATGGGCCTCGTCTCGGTCTTCGGCAACGAACTCGACGCCTACTACGACAAGCTCCTCTCCGGCGAGAGCGGGATCGCTCCGATAGACCGCTTCGACGCCTCCAAGTTCCCCACCAGGTTCGGCGGCCAGATCCGGGGCTTCTCCTCCGAGGGCTACATTGATGGCAAGAACGACCGCCGTCTCGACGATTGCCTTCGTTACTGCCTCGTTGCTGGCAAGAAGGCTCTCGTCGATGCTGATCTCGGCGGCGATAAGCTCTCCAAGGTCGTATCTTTTTCAATTCGATTCGTTAATTGCGAAGCATTTCCAATTTCGTGTTTTCTTCCCCCCCATAGATGCTTTGGTTTGTTAATTTGTTTATTTCTCCAACTTATCGGATTAATTGGAAAGTATAAAATTTATGGATCTGGGCATTCTGCCTTTGCCAATTATGTGAAGGAGCTTGCATGTTAGGATTTATTTATTTTTTATGTATATAATTTACAGATATGATTCTGTTCTTTTTTTTTTTTTAGTTTGTATTGATGTGTTTCTGTTCGATTTTGGAGTCATTAGGAACTAAATGAACAGGACAAAAATGGTTTGGCACATTGGATAACAACTATGCTATTTTTAATCTTTGATTATAATTATATAGGACCATGTGAGATAAACTATTAGTTCTTGTTTGTTATTGTTTTTCGGTTTTTGCTTGAATTATGTCGTGGAATTGCTACTGCAATCTACTCAAACCTATCTGGTAAATTACCATGAAGCGGGATCCCATAATGCATTAGTTTACAATTGTGTTCTTGGAAACCTCTTCTAATGGTGTGGAAGAGTTTCATCTTACCTGCGATATATGTGTTATTAAACGATTTAGTGCAAAGATGGGTCATTTATTGGTAAAGTTCTGTTTCATTTACATTATGTCTCGGCCTTCAGTTTAGTACTGTTTATGAAGTTTTAAAATGAATAATTTCAGCCGTGTTAGAAGTGAATCTAAAAGAAGAGGAGGAAAGGTGGTATAAATCAATATGCTTTTACTTATCCTGGGATTTGAACTCATTAAAGTTATTTCTTTTGCTTCTCTACAGATTGACAAGGAACGAGCTGGTGTGCTTGTTGGAACGGGGATGGGAGGTCTTACTGTCTTTTCTGATGGTGTTCAGGCACTAATTGAGAAAGGTCACAGGAAGATAACACCATTTTTCATTCCTTATGCTATTACAAACATGGGATCTGCCTTGCTGGCCATTGATCTAGGCCTCATGGGTCCAAATTACTCAATCTCCACTGCCTGTGCTACTTCAAATTACTGCTTCTACGCTGCTGCAAATCACATTCGTCGAGGTGAGGCTGATATGATGATTGCCGGTGGAACTGAAGCTGCTATTATACCCATTGGGCTTGGGGGTTTTGTTGCTTGCAGAGCTCTGTCTCAGAGAAATGATGACCCAAAAACTGCTTCTAGGCCATGGGACAAGGATAGAGATGGCTTTGTCATGGGTGAGGGTGCTGGAGTTTTGGTAAGGCTTTACCAATTCTGTTAACGTTGCATCAACATAATCGTAGCTAATAATCTAGATTAGATGATCAACTATTTGGAGAAGAATAATCATTTTTTTTAAATACAAGTTATATTCTGGGATTCTAGATTACATGTTCACCTATTTGGAGAGGAATAATTATTACTTTTCTTTCGTTACAAGTTATATTATGGGATGGTCATTATGAAGTTGAATTGAATTTTCCATGAATTTAGTTTCACAGATCTTAATAATGAAGAGGTCTGGTTTTCTTGACAGGTGATGGAGAGCTTGGAGCATGCAATGAAACGAGGTGCACCAATTATTGCCGAGTACTTGGGAGGTGCTGTTAATTGTGATGCTTATCACATGACAGATCCAAGAGCTGATGGACTTGGTGTGTCTTCATGCATAGAGAGCAGCCTTGAAGATGCTGGCGTGTCACCTGAGGAGGTAATGGACTTTCACAAATTTCACCATTCTTCATATTTTGTAATGATTAACTTTGGGGTTTCTAAGATAGCATTCTGTCGATTCATGATTTGCTTCCGCAATTTCTTTTTCTCCTCGTGTTGTAGTATCTCTCTCTTTCTCTGGTTTGTCTTCTTTCTCTCTTGATTATGTGAATTCTTCCTGACATCTAGATTGTGTTTTTCTAAATCCTTTCACTTTTCACTTTTTATTTATATTGTATGGTTTTAATGCATTTGGCGTTTAATGCCACAAGTGGCATCTTGAAATTTAGATACGGTCCATATGGATTGAAGAACAAACGAGAAAATTGCTATCTCACTTATTACGCTTGCCTTTTCTCAGGGGAAAATAAAAACTTGAATTAAGTCAATTTTCTTAATAATCGTTATGTTGCTTGTTCAACATTAAGTGGACGTTTGGTTAATGGATTCATAATCATTCTCGATTTACGTGTCTTTTTTGTGAGAAAAAACACTGTAGCGAGCTACGAACCATGATCCGAACCATGACATGAATCCACCAACCAAACGCACACTAAGGTTTGTTGATTTATCCTAATTGCATTTGCTGCATATATCTGTGTTTTATTGCTTATTACTTTTTGCCATGAATGTAGCAATGTTTATGAAAAGATATGATGGATATTCAGACAAACTATATTCTAGCATTTGGAATTGGATGGTATTGTGACTAAAGCCTGAGATATAGGGAAGTAGTTTTTTAAGGTCTTCCAATTCTAAATGTTGCACATAAGGATACTTCTCTTATGACTTTGTGAGGGGTTTTATACATGATTTATCAGTCTTCGTTGCCGTTTATATTCTTCATTTCTGGATGTGTAAGAGTACGGAGTTAACTAGTCGATAACCTTGTCAGGTCAACTACATTAATGCACATGCAACATCCACTCTTGCTGGTGACCTAGCTGAGATAAATGCTATCAAGAAGGTTTTCAAGAACACTTCTGAGATCAAGATCAATGCTACTAAGGCAATATCTCCCTCTTTCTCTCTATTCTTCTGCACTATTTCAGAGTCTTCTCAGTTTGAGTATATTCAATATTGGAAGATGATCTTGTGTTTTGCCATTTGCTGATAATTATTTTATTTTTTTCTTCAATTTGCTCCAGTCTATGATAGGGCACTGTCTTGGTGCTGCTGGAGGTCTGGAAGCCATTGCCACTGTGAAAGCCATTACAACCGGGTGGTTGCATCCCACTATTAACCAATTTGTACGCGATACCAATTTTCTCCTTAATTCTATTCTCGTGTTGGACTTTTGAAAATTTCCAATTTTTGTGCTGTTTTTTTGTACTAATTAAGTTTTCAAGAAATAAAAATCAAACATTATGGCTAATATTGAAACTAGTGAGTAGTGACATATTCAAGTTATTCCTTTACTAGTTCTTAATCTCTGTAGCAAACTATACATTATCACTAACTGTAATCTGCAATTTATTAGTTTCCTCAATCTGCATTATTGAGTGATGACAATGTGATGCATGACATGCTTTGTTCTAAAAAAATTGTAGAATCCGGAGCCCGCAGTTGACTTTGATACTGTTGCAAATGTAAAGCAGCAGCATGAGGTGAATGTTGGTATGTTGCTAAACCTTTGAAACTCATCAAATTTATCTGTGCAATTTTCTTTATCAATAACGTTGAAGTTTATAAAAAAAATGTCGAAGTTTAGTCACTGATTTTCTGCATAAATTCCAGCCATATCGAATTCATTCGGGTTCGGTGGACATAACTCTGTGGTGGCCTTCTCTTCGTTCAAGCCCTGACCAGATAAAAAAGTTGCCAATTTTTGTAGATCAAACATCCTCACTTGAGAATAGGTTCAATTTGTAATTGAGGTTGCTTCGTGTTTCCAATTTCCAGAACTTGCAATTTATTTCAGGCCATTTGTTTTGTAATCTTTTTGTTTCATGTTAAACTCTATGATCGGTATTTACAACATTCCTATTTCTTTCTTTCAATGATCAGTTATCATTCAATTAAAGAAAACCCAATCCCTTGAGTCTTGACAAGCTCGTTATTCAACTTTCAAGCTCAAAAATTCCTACATTCAGACAAAAAAAGGTTAAAAAAATCATAAAAATCCATTCCCTTAACATCATCTGTTTTTTTAGATCTTTTTTTTTTTGCCCTTTCTGTGAGAGATAATAATGTGTAAATACTAAGGGTGCATTCGGCTGGGGGAAAGTAGAGTTGTCAAACGTGTCGTACTGGACATGCACGGCATGTTTGACCCTAGGCCTATGGCGGGCCTGGGCTGTGTTAGGGCTGGGCCTGAGGAGAAAATCTCAGGCCCGCGGCCCTAGTCCATAAGGACCAAGGCCGGGCTTGGGCCCAGACCTTTCACGGGCCGGTCCTGGCCCTTGTAATTTTTTTTCCAAAATTTAATTAAAAAAAAAGAAAATATATCATATGTCCTAAAAGATGTGATTTTATTGAATTGAAATAATACGAATAAGTACACATAAATAACTGCCTCGTTAAAAACCTTGCCAAGTAAAACCCGTGGGGAGATCGGCACAAAACCTTAGCGAAGGGAAAAAGAGTGCAGTATTCTAGGAATAGTAAATTACAAAACATAAGTTTTTTCAGAAGATTTTGTTATTTCTAAGTTAGAAAAATAGTCTTGCATTAAATCATCTGTGTATTGTTATTTTCGTCTTCTGGCATCTTTCCAGTTTTTAACGCACATTAGCCCCTCCAAGATATTTAGATGCATTCTGCTTCTCTTCTCGTCAAGAATTCGGTTGCTTGCACTAAATGCTTGCTCTGATGCTACCTACCATTGACACTTGAGTTGTCATAATGTCACAAGCTATTATGGATAGTATTGGAAAACAATCGGTCTTGCTCTTCCACCATTGTAAGATGTCCAGTTTGTCATCATCGATTACAAAATTTGCTTCAAAATATTTTACCAGTTCGGTAGACACTTGTGTTGATGATGATCCTGCCGTTTTCTCTTTCTTCTTCAAGAACTTCCATGACAAGCCTTTAGGCCCCGAACTGTTAGTTGACGTCGAAGTTCCCTGTTATTTTTGACATGTGTTGTATTTTGCTTCATACAAACCAAGTACATTTTCTAACATTTTCCTAGCGTTAGTAATAATTAATTGTATATCAATACATAAATTTTCTGTTGTAGCAGTCATCAAAGATTCAGTCTCATCTACTCCGCACCTAGGATTTAAAATGGTTGCTAGTGCATATAACATAAGACAACTTGACCAACAACTTTTAAATTTAGTTTCCGTTAGCTTAACTATGTTTTCAAAAAGTACTGTATCCCTATAATAAGAAAATGTTTCTGAAATATTAAATAGTTGATGTAAAACTCAATGTGCAGTAGGATAATAAACTCCAGAAAGTAATTCAGTAGCATAGTAAAAAACTTCTATAAATTTTAAAAAATACTCACCAATTTGTCAATCTGTATCGAAAATTAAAAGTTGATCGTTCTTACTGTTTACATACGTTGTGATGAGCTTTGAATACGGGAGTGCAACTCTTAACATTAAATAGGTGAAATTCCACCTATGTCTCACGTCAGTTGGGAACTTTCTTGGGCGCATCTAAATGTTCCTGCAATATTGTTTGAATTCTTAGAGCCGAGCTCAAGAACTAGATATGAAGGATAATGATTCTCTAATATTTGTTAGATTAGCTGAAATATGTTCAATTCCTGCCTGAACTACTAAATTGATTATGTGACACGCACACCATTAATGAAAAATTTCCCCCTCAAACGATGGTTTTAAACTACGTTTAAACATTTTAATTGCAGCCGTGTTAGCTGGCACATTATCAAAAGTAATAGTTAAAATTTTATCTTCTATCCCATAAAACTCAAAAATTTCCATTATTGTACTAAAAATAGCTGATATGTTATGAGGATATGGACATAAACGAAAACCTATTATTATTTTTTTTTTTGTAAAATCCATTCATTATCAAGATAATGCGTCGTGGCGCATAAATATACAATTTTATTGCACCCCTCCCATAGATCAGAAGTACAAGATACAGTAGTATTAAAAGTCTTAAAACTATCAACAAGAGATTGTCTCATTGCATAAAACACTTTCAAGCAATCAGAACGAGTTGTGTTTCTACTTACCCGTTTAAATTACGGGCAGAAGGCCATCTGTATGAATTCTTCAAACGACGCATCATCTACAAAAGAAAGAGGTAATTCGGCACTAGCTAGAAATTTAGCTAGTGCCTCACGAGCACGTTGTGCATCGTATGTAAAATTTTGCAACCCTTGTGATGTGAGTGATAGTCTTTGTTGGTGGGAGTCCACACTCCTACCTTGGTGCAACGGTAGACATACTTTCCAATATTTATCCAGATGACTAGTACCCCCACTCTTTTTATTAGAAAATTATTTTTTACAATACTTACATACTGCACGAATTTCTATTTCACCTATTTTTGGATTTGGTCGGAGCTCCTTTGTGAAATGCTGCCATGCAGGAGAAGTTCACAGTCTTTTTCCCCTAGTGCATTCTCCAACTTCCTTGTTGTGCACTGAAGCATTATCAACCGGAGCATTTTCTGGTTCAGTGGGGGTGGGGTTGGGAGGTATCATTTCATCCTCAAAAAATGGCTCATCACCAAGCTCAAGAAGAGCAGTGAAATTAGGAAAGTTTGATGCGGCTATTTTCTAGAAATTGATTAAACTTAAACTTTGTAAATGAAAGAGCAAGAAAATGAGTGATCGCGAGAAAAAAGCTTAGAATCAAAATCAAAGAGACAAGATGAGAGATAGAATGAAAGTGAGATGAGAAGTTGAGAGTGAATTATTGTGTGGGATTTAGGGTGGGATTAAGGGGTATTTATAGGAAATTTTTAGGGTTTTATCAGATTGTGACCGCTGGGCCCTTTGTGGGCCCAATAGTCACAATCATAAAGGGTTGGAGGGCTTTTTCGCATGCCATTTCGCAGGCCTAAATGTTCCTGCAATATTGTTTGAATTCTTAGAGCCGAGCTCAAGAACTAGATATGAAGGATAATGATTCTCTAATATTTGTTAGATTAGCTGAAATATGTTCAATTCCTGCCTGAACTACTAAATTGATTATGTGACACGCACACCATTAATGAAAAATTTCCCCCTCAAACGATGGTTTTAAACTACGTTTAAACATTTTAATTGCAGCCGTGTTAGCTGGCACATTATCAAAAGTAATAGTTAAAATTTTATCTTCTATCCCATAAAACTCAAAAATTTCCATTATTGTACTAAAAATAGCTGATATGTTATGAGGATATGGACATAAACGAAAACCTATTATTATTTTTTTTTTTGTAAAATCCATTCATTATCAAGATAATGCGTCGTGGCGCATAAATATACAATTTTATTGCACCCCTCCCATAGATCAGAAGTACAAGATACAGTAGTATTAAAAGTCTTAAAACTATCAACAAGAGATTGTCTCATTGCATAAAACACTTTCAAGCAATCAGAACGAGTTGTGTTTCTACTTACCCGTTTAAATTACGGGCAGAAGGCCATCTGTATGAATTCTTCAAACGACGCATCATCTACAAAAGAAAGAGGTAATTCGGCACTAGCTAGAAATTTAGCTAGTGCCTCACGAGCACGTTGTGCATCGTATGTAAAATTTTGCAACCCTTGTGATGTGAGTGATAGTCTTTGTTGGTGGGAGTCCACACTCCTACCTTGGTGCAACGGTAGACATACTTTCCAATATTTATCCAGATGACTAGTACCCCCACTCTTTTTATTAGAAAATTATTTTTTACAATACTTACATACTGCACGAATTTCTATTTCACCTATTTTTGGATTTGGTCGGAGCTCCTTTGTGAAATGCTGCCATGCAGGAGAAGTTCACAGTCTTTTTCCCCTAGTGCATTCTCCAACTTCCTTGTTGTGCACTGAAGCATTATCAACCGGAGCATTTTCTGGTTCAGTGGGGGTGGGGTTGGGAGGTATCATTTCATCCTCAAAAAATGGCTCATCACCAAGCTCAAGAAGAGCAGTGAAATTAGGAAAGTTTGATGTGGCTATTTTCTAGAAATTGATTAAACTTAAACTTTGTAAATGAAAGAGCAAGAAAATGAGTGATCGCGAGAAAAAAGCTTAGAATCAAAATCAAAGAGACAAGATGAGAGATAGAATGAAAGTGAGATGAGAAGTTGAGAGTGAATTATTGTGTGGGATTTAGGGTGGGATTAAGGGGTATTTATAGGAAATTTTTAGGGTTTTATCAGATTGTGACCGCTGGGCCCTTTGTGGGCCCAATAGTCACAATCATAAAGGGTTGGAGGGCTTTTTCGCATGCCATTTCGCAGGCCTGGGCCGGACCGAACAAGGGCATAATCCAAACTTGGGCCGGGCCGCGGGCCTTCACGGGCTAGGGCCACAGGCTGAGAAGCTGAGGCCCAACCCTAGCCCATCAAACGTGCTGGGCAGGCACAGTCCGTAATAGTACTAGGTCGTGTTGAATCCGACACTGTTACAGGCTGGGCTTGACACCACTAGGGGAAAGGAAAGAAAATAAATAGGATGAAATCTAAGTATGATGTTTGGTTAGATTTATAAAAAGGAACGGCTATTCACCTAAATTTGGGCGAATCATTATTCCCTCCTCACATGGGAGGAATAGCCATTCGAAGCTCGTTTCTTCTTTCTTTCCATAATTACCCTTGAATATTATAATATAACTATAATATAATATATTGTAATTATATCTTATAATATATTATATAATAAAAATATCATAATATAATATAGTTATAATAATATAATAGTATAATAACACAATATAATATAATATAGTTGTTATTATAATTTCAATATTATTGTTTATAATATATAATATAATAATATAAAATATAAAATATATAATAATATAATATGTTATAATATAATGTAGTTTTGATAAAATATGGTGTAGTTATAATATCGTAACAAATAATATTATAATTATTAATAATTGCAACATTATTATTTTATTATACAATACAATATTATAATTATATTATAGTGTATTATTAATATAATTAGGTTATATTATATTATAATAATATAATTAAATATTATGTATATTATAGTTATATTATTATTATCTATTATATTGTATTACATGTTATGATTACATAATATATAATACGTTATTAATATAATATGATATAATATATTATTATATTATATGTTATATTATAGTATAATATAATATAGTTGTAATTTTTAATTATAATACAATTGAAATGTTATTATTTCTTATATAATAATATAATATATTTTATAATATTATAATTAGACTAACCATTTTAATATTTTATTATGTTCTATATCATAATTATATAATATATTATATAATAATTTTATCATATTATATTATATTTTTCACAATATATTAATTATATTGATATACAAAATATTAGTGTTATATATATCACTTAAGGGTAACTTTACCTACATGAAAATATCCATGTTTCATTTCATAATATTCCTAAAATTACAACTAAATAAATAAATAAATTTTTTTTTACCATCTATTTAATTACTATTTTCATTCTATTGCTATTCTCTTCACTGTAATACCAAACGCACCATAAATATTTTTGACATAAAAAAATAAGACGTAGGTAAACACAAGTGGTAAACGGGCCGAGTAGCCCTTTATGTGTGCAATCCGGCCCGCTACAGTGGAGGGCCAGGAGCGGACCGCGAGTGTGGAGGGTCGTCCCCGTAGTCGCCGAGTCTAAGAATTCTGTCAGCCCAACCCACGTGCTCTATTGACAAAAAGAAAAACCCACTTGTCAACATATAATTGGCCAGTAGGGAGAGTGAGGTGCCCCTGTACATTTCCCGCAGAGCGTCAACCTCTCTCATTTCCCCGCCAAAAATCACAATCTTAGAGTTAGGGCCAGCGAAAAAAGAGTCGCTCCCGATTTCTCAAGGCAGAGACTGAGAGCTTCCCTTCCCTTTCTCTCTCTACCCATCTCTCTCTCTCTCTCTCTCTCTCTGCGATTGAGAAGGCGAAATGGACATCAGCGAAGAAGTTAGGGCTGCTCACAAGCGTGAGCTCATGGCCTTCCTCGAAGATGGCGTATGTCTTCTATCTTCTCTTCCTCTTTACTCTCTCTCTCTCTTAATTTTGGTAAAAAATGGTGATGGTGCAGCTTTACATGGACGAGATCAAGGCCATGATCAACCACAAGCGCCGCCGCCTCATTGTCAACATTTCCGATCTCCATGCTTTTGGCGACTTCGGTCCCAGGTATATAATTCAACTTCGCTGTTTGGTTCCCGCGAAAAAAAGAAGCACTGTTGAATGGGTTTTTGACCTTCAATTTCTGAAGATTCGTGAAGATCCACGTCTTATAACGTGAAATTGATTGTATTTGACTTCAATTTAGGGAATCTTTGGTCGTCCGAACTAATTAAAATCTCTCTTTTACGTTTAAGTAAGGAGAAATTGAAGTTTATGTTTTTGACAAATTTTTTCCGGTTTCTTCTTTTCAACAACACAGGATTCTTAGGAATCCAAGTGAGTACATGCAAGCGTTCTGCGATGCCGCCACGGAAGTAGCTAACAAAATCGACGGAAAGTATTTGAAGCAAGGGGAGCAGGTTCTCGTAGGATTTGAAGGCCCTTTTGTTTCTCGCCGTGTCACTCCAAGGGAACTGCTCTCTGAGTTCATAGGCTCCATGGTCTGCGTCGAGGGCATTATTACCAAATGTACTTTCTTCCACTTCAACTTCACATGTGTCTTTCGTAGTTGAAAGTTTTAACTTTCTTTTTGTTAGCGAATTCCTTATCATTTATCTAAAGTGTTTGTTAACTTGTAATACAGTATCTTGTAGTTGATAACTCCCAAAACTCATGATCTTGGATGCATCTATTATCGTAATACTAGAAGAGGATAGTAGAGACGTAAGATACAAGAGTGACATTTTGTTCCATAATTTAGCGTCTTTGATAAATTCAGCTCTTAACCCTCCTTGATTACACTTTCAATGACGCATTTTAGTTATTGGAGATGTTCCCTAACTACCACTAACTCTCTGCAGGTTTTCTCCAGTAACTCTCAGTATGCACATAACTAATTTTCTAGCTATCTCCTTTGTAGGTTCTCTCGTAAGACCAAAAGTTGTTAAAAGTGTCCACTTCTGTCCTACAACCGGAAACTTCACCACTCGCGAATACCGTGACATTACTTCCAATATGGGTTTGCCCACAGGAACTGTTTATCCTACCAGGGTAATCTCAGGCCTCTTTTCTTTCATAACTTGTTTATTATTCTCAGAGGAGTCTTTTCTCTAAAAGAAAGTACTTGCTCAGGATGACAATGGCAACTTACTGGTGACTGAGTTTGGATTGTGCAAGTACAAGGACCATCAAACCTTGTCAATGCAAGAAGTTCCGGAAAATTCTGCTCCTGGTCAGCTGCCACGAACCGTGGATGTCATAGTTGAAGATGACCTGGTTGATTCATGCAAACCGGGAGACCGACTGGCCATTGTTGGGATATACAAAGCGCTTCCTGGTCAAAGCAAGGGCAGTGTGAATGGAGTGTTCAGGTAAGTTTCTATCACGTGGAATGGAAGAGCTACATTTTATTCTTACAATGACATTTTCATTTTATAAATTCCTAACTAAGTGAACTTGTTATGTAGGACTGTTCTCATAGCTAACAATGTTTCTCTGCTCAACAAAGAGGCAAATGCACCAATCTACAGCCCTGAAGACTTAAAGAACATCAAGAAAATTGCTGAGAGAGAAGATACATTTGATCTACTGGGTAATTCACTTGCACCATCTATATATGGGCATTCATGGATAAAGAAAGCAGTGATACTATTAATGCTTGGTGGAGTTGAAAAGAACTTAAAGAATGGCACCCACTTGCGAGGGTGAGTTAAACTCCTAATCTTTATTTTATTATTATTATTATTTATTTATATTTTTTTTAACGTTTGACAATGTCATATCCTCTATTATTTTTTCCTTAGTTGTGTTTTTTAGCCACACCTAAGCAAGTGAATTCTTGAGTAACTCACGATCCTGTTTCTTTTAGTGACATTAACATGATGATGGTTGGTGATCCTTCTGTTGCCAAGTCTCAACTTTTGAGGGCAATTATTAACATTGCTCCATTGGCAATATCAACCACTGGTCGTGGTTCTTCTGGTGTTGGTTTGACAGCTGCTGTTACTACAGATCAAGAAACAGGTAATTTACTTAACTTTACTTTTACAGTTTACATTATGATATTTGTCTTAATGTCTCTTTGTATTCAGGAGATAGAAGGCTTGAAGCCGGTGCAATGGTTATTGCTGATCGTGGTGTTGTTTGCATTGATGAATTTGATAAGATGAATGATCAAGATCGTGTTGCTATCCACGAGGTTATGGAGCAGCAAACTGTAACTATTGCTAAAGCTGGTATCCATGCATCACTCAATGCTCGATGCAGCGTGGTGGCTGCTGCAAATCCTATATACGGAACTGTAAGTAGACCTTCCAACCTAGAAGCCCACATGCATGCACGAGACTTGATGCTTTGAATTCCCCTATTTTGTTTTTTATTTATTTATGCTTTTGTGTCTAATCGATGTACAGTACGACCGATCATTGACTCCGACAAAAAATATTGGACTTCCAGACTCTTTACTTTCTCGTTTTGATTTACTGTTTATCGTACTGGATCAAATGGATGCTGATATTGACCGCCACATTTCGGAGCATGTTTTACGTATGCATCGGTTTCGTTCCACAATTGATGGAGGTAATTTGACCAGTATTTTCTTGCTTAAAAGTGAGTGGTCCTTGAACAATACTAAGCCAAGCGTGAAACTGCAGGTGAAGCAACCCTTAATGGGAGTTCAAGATACGGGAGAGAAGATGAAGCTGATAATGAATCATCCGTGTTTGTGAAATATAACCGAATGCTCCATGGAAAGAAAACAGATAGGGGTCGAAAGCGTGATACGCTCACTATTAAGTTCCTCAAAAAGTATATTCATTATGCAAAGCACAGAATTCAGCCTGAACTTACTGATGAGGTCCTGATGCAATAGTACTCCTACATTTGTATGACAGTCTAATTATCCAGTGTTTTGACTTATCATGTTATTGCATCTGCAACATATTTTGCATTATGGCATTGCCAATTAACCTTTTTTTTGGCTTTTCCTTTGACAGTAAAGAGCCTTGTATGATAGTCCTGTAACTTGATTACTTAGTTGCAGATTGTTTAGTGCCGCCATTGCAGGGCTAATATAACAATCTTTGACTGCAGGCATCTGAACACATTGCAACGGCATATGCAGAACTTAGAAACGCTAGTTCAAATACAAAGGTAGTGTTAATTAGCATCTGGAGAATATATGCGCCATAATGTACAGTGTTTCTTCTTCCGTTTAGCTAATATGATGCTTGCATTCTGTAGACTGGAGGTACACTTCCTTTTACTGCCAGAACCTTAGAAACCATTATTCGTCTCTCAACTGCTCATGCCAAATTAAAGTTAAGCAGGAAGGTAATAAGTTGTTCACCTTTTAGTGATTCAATAAAATTTTTCCTTTCCTTCAGAAAATTCAGATTATATTTGTTCATCAGTTCAGCATGGTATCATTTTGTTATCGCTTGTCTTTACACTTAGTGGTGGTTAATAAATAATAATCTACTTTTAACAGGTTTCAAAGTCTGATGTCGAAGAGGCATTGAAAGTTCTAAATTTTGCAATATATCACAAAGAACTGACTGAGATGGATGAGCGTGAGCAAGAAAGGGAGAGAGAATTGGAGAGCAAACGCAGGGCCGAGGGTCGTTCAGATGAAAATGGTAGACCCGCCACTGGTACAGCTGATATAGGCGGGGAAGTAATGAGGTTAAGGGGTTAGGTTATATCACTTTTACGGGTGTCTTCTTGGTGCTTTCATTCCGATAGAAAAAAGTGTGTGTGAAAAAAAAAAGGGGTCCCCCCGCCACTGGTACAGCTGATATAGGCGGGTAAGTAATGAGTTTAAGGGATTAGGTTATATCACTTTTACGGGTGTCTTCTTGGTGCTTTCATTCCGATCAGAAAAAAGTTTGGGCTCCGCAGTATTCTTTCTTCCCCGCCAACATACAAGTATTATTTCTCTATTATCTTTCTATAAGATAAATGGCGAGGATGTATCACTTGATTGCATCTTTTACAAGACTCTAGGACATATTTTTTTGACTTTTTTATTTCCTGTTATTAGTGGCCATAACATTCTGCTGATCTTTTCCTTGTGACTTTTTCTCTGCCTAGTTCAACAACTGATCCCATGGAAGTCGATGACCCTCCAGCGCAATCTGCTGCTGATCTTTCTCATGAGAGGTCTATAGGCGAAGAACTTGTTTCTTTTTCCCTTATCTAAAAATTTATTCGTCGCTACTATAGCTTTTGACACTGTTTCTGTGCTTCGTCTTGCAGAATAGAAGCATTCAATTCTTTATTTGGCCAGCATATGCTGAACAACCGATTGGATATCATATCCATTCAGGATGTAGAGGAGGCTGTCAACTCCAAGGCTGATGTCCCCTTCTCAAGGGCAGAGATAACATTCCTATTAGAGGTATAGTTCCCCTATTTAAATAATTGCTTTTGTTATCTTGTATGTTTTGTTCTAGTGTCTGATACTCTAGACGTTACAAATGGCAGTTTGTTTATTTTTCTTGTCTTTGCTATATATAAAAGATGGGCAATGACATGCATTTGATCATTTTCCAGAAACTGCAAGATGCTAACAGAGTGATGGTAGTTGACGGAACGGTGCATATGATATCTTGAGGTATCTATAAGAAGACCATTTTCAATGGCTAAACCCGGTTGGCTATAGTTGTATGTATCGCCAAACTGTTCTCCGCTATGCATACATGGCTGAGATGACCGGTTGTCAGGGAGAGCATAATTTGGTGGCATAACTGATGATTATGGAGGAGAAACATTTATTTAGTTCTGGATAAGCTCGGTGTGGACATTAAACCTTAGGACTTGTAACTGGAAGCATAGTTGCAATATTTAACCTTTGTGTCCTTCCAACTGCCAGTCAATGGACGTGTTGTCTTTCTTTTATTTATTATTTATTATTTTTATTTTTACAGTCTATTCCACACAAGTAGCCATGCTCCTTTGTGCCCAGTTCATAAAAGTCAAGGCATGCTGAATGTTAGACTTGGAGTATTTTTTTTGCATCATTGTGGAAAGGGTTTGCTTCAGACCTGGTGGATCAAATATGTTGAGGGAAAAAAAAAGAAAAAAGAAAAAAGAAAAAAGAAAAAAGAAAATAGAAAATAGAAAACAGAAAGTAAAGATAATGATAACTGATGCCAGACTAAGAGCTTGGCATATTCAATCTCAACGATTTTAAACAAAATGGTGATGGAAGGTTTACTTTTACAAATCTTTCAAATTTTCGATTTGATCTGATCCGATCCGTTCTTTCTTATAGCTATTTACTCCATCCACACTTCTTGAACACTTTTAAGAAAATCCATCGTTTTATGCGTGCATACGTGTGTTGCCTTGTACTTAATTGTCCTCCATCACTGCTGCGTATGAGTCGTCTTAGGGTCCGTTTAGTTCGCTGTTTAATTCACTGATTCGAGTTTTTAATTCGAGTTGAGATGTGATTTTATGTGAGAGCTTTTTACTGTAGCAAAAAAGTTAGATGTGATTGTTTGTGAGAGCTTTTTACTGTAGCAAAACTCGAATTCTAAACTCGAATCAGCGAAATGAACAGGGCCTTAATTAGTTACATTTGTCGTTCTAGTGCCACAGTTCCTTTTTAAGAGATTGTCTATATGGAGTTCGAAGCATGTATATAAGGTGAAGACGCTCAAGAATTACCTGCCAAACTTAGTGGTGATGAAGCCACCACTGTTGGCCGGACTTTTTCCTTTCACAATCCTGTTAAAGGAAAGGTTAATGAACTCTTGCTCTTCCTCAAGCATATGCATACTTCACAGTTCACACACCTACGTAGTTGGGTGATCAATTTACTAAACTCGTAAAGTTAAGGGGTTATTTGTATACTTTTTTTTTTTTAAATTAATCTTATAAATGGTTTTTGAGATGTACTCTCATCTAATTTTGAATAATGACTTTTAAAATATTTCACAATTAATTTATGAGTGTTTACTTTATTTCAATTTTATTCCTTTTGTTATTAAAGGGTTAAATATTTAACGGATTTTGTGTGAATTAAGGAGTAAAATCATAAGGACTATATGTAGAGAATAACTTATATTATTTTTCTTATTTGGTCCTTAAAATTTAGATGTTTCTAATTTTAGTTATTAAATTTCACATATTTTGTCAAATATTTAACACTTAGGCCTCATTCGCTTCACGAATTCGACTTTTCAATTCGAACTGAGATGTGTCATTTTCTGAGAGTTTTTAATTGTAACAGAAAAAGTTAGATGTAACATTTTTTAAGAGTTTTTAACTGTAAAAACTTAGAACTGAAAACTCGAATCGGTGAAATGAACAAGGCATTAGTTAACAAAATGACCGATACTAAAATGGAGTAAAACCTTAAAGACTGACTGTAAAACTTTTTAAAAATCAGAGACTGAATTAGGATTGTGTAAATCTCACAGACTATTTATGAGATTAAGGGTCTATTTATCAAATATTTAAACCCAATTCAATAATTTCTCACTAATAGTTTTTTTTATAAAATTCTTGCTAATGAATCAGAATCACTAATTTAAAAGCGTAAAACAAAAATGTTCCTGACTTTTTTTTTTTTAATGGAACATTTGGGTGTTGTTTGGTATACGGATTTTGAATTCGGAACTATGATTCTGGTTCAGAACCAATGTTTGTTTATAAAAAGTAAAAAGTAATTCTAATTTGACACTAAGAATCATTGTTTGGTTAGGATGATTCTGATTTAAGATTTGAACCAAAATGTTACGTAATCATAAATCACTCTTAATTTTAAAACCACCCCATTTGGTTTTGGGTGGTTCAAATCCATAATTCTAATTCTACTTTAAAACTATAATTTAAATTTAAAATTATGAATTATGATTTTGATATCAAAATTATGGGCCCGTTCAGTTCGCTGATTCGAGTTTTTAATTCGAGTTGAGATGTGATTTTATGTAAGAGCTTTTTATTGTAGTAAAAAAGTTAGATGTGATTATTTTTGAGAACTTTTTACTATAGCAAAACTCAAATTCTAAACTCGAATCGGTGAAATGAACGGAGACGACTATTAGAATTAATCTGATTTGAACTCTCGATTCTTTAGAAGCAACTTGAAAGTCCGAGACCTTACAGCTACGTGGCCGAGAAAGAACAAACGAAATCCAAAGGAGGCCGAGCTGGTTGGCGGGTAAGAGTGAATAGTCGTATAAAAGATATTTTCCCATTTGAGAGTGAGAGCAATGGCCACTCGTTTACCTCTCTTTCTCTGCAACTTTCGCTTCCAACCCCAAACCAAAAGCAAAACCCATCTCCAACACTTAACCCATCCTCTTATTCTCACGACATTTCCCACAACACCCACCTCCTTTTCTGTCCTCTCTTCCACAAAGGTATGTAACCAAACTCACCTCCATCCACACACACAAACACAATGCAGTTCCCACTTTTTTGGAACTGGGTTGTCCACAAACTGTTTTGAAAATTTCAATTTTTTTGATAAGAATTAAGAACTCACATCAATTTGACAATCTGGGTTGAAGTCATTTTCTTGAATTGGCATGTTCATCTATGGTTTAGATGGAAGGAAACGAAATAATAACAGAGGAAACGAGTGAGAAATCAGAGGCCAATCTCAATGGAAAGAAGAAAATCTTTGTGGCCGGTGCTACAGGAAGTACAGGCAAAAGAATTGTTGAGCAATTGTTGGCCAAAGGTTTTTCGGTTAAAGCCGGTGTTCGGGACTTGGACAAGGCCAAGACAGCGTTTTCCAAGGCCAACCCGGATCTTCAAATTGTGAGTTTTCTTCAATTCTGTAAGTTTACATGCTTTTAAAGAAGTATAGAGAAATCCAATTTTCATCTGGGTTTTGCGATACTCTTTTTTTTTTTTTTTTTTTTTTTTTTTTTAAGGTGAAAGCGGATGTCACTGAGGGTTCTGCTAAACTGGCTGAAGCTATAGGCGATAATTCTGAGGCTGTCATTTGTGCCACCGGGTTTAGGCCAGGCTGGGATTTGTTTGCTCCTTGGAAGGTTAGGTGCTTTTTCATTCATGTAACTGATATTGATATTGTGTTTTGGATTAAAGCCCTCATCCTTTGCAAACGAGAGCAATGATATGAAAGAAAATTAGGCTATGAAAGATCTGCATGCTAACGCCGCGTCGGGACAACAATTAGGCTCCACACGCTTAACAGATTTTGTATTTTCCAGTTTTATCTTCATTATTTTAGGCCCTTTTGTTGGAATACTATACCTGCATTGATACATATATTTTGTTTTGAAATGATATATTTGTTTATGTAAATCAAATCCACTCTTCAGAGTGCAACCATCCAACTTTACTGGGATCAAACAAACTAATGATTTCTTTTGGAGTTAATGTCTTTAAAGCATGATGCTCAGAATTTACCTTTGTAAAGAAAGCAAAAAAAATATCCTTGAATTTTTGCTAAATATATAAGAGAAAAATCCAGATGTAAAGAGATATCTTAAGCACATAACCTTGGAATTAATCAAAATCACTGCGGCTTTTTGTTAGGATCCTGGTTGAGTCCCACATTGTTATAGTATGGGCTTAGCGTGTGGGTTTATAACTACTTGGGCACCCTCTCCCTACAACCTAGCTTTTGGGGATGAGTTCTACCCAAGGATTGTTACACTTTTCTTGCTACATGTCCCCCAAACGTAAAAATTTATAAGGCACTTATTCTTAAACCAAACGCATCAGTGCAAGTATTGGTATGTGGTACCAGGTGAATTTCTTTCTCGTGCCATAAGTATTAAAGTATTTAGTGTTCGGATATAGAACATCCATTATTGTATTTCTTATGCAGTTTCGTGCCAGTTAGTTTCTTGATTTTTCTAAGACAAAGTTATTCGAATGTTAGGACTTAGACAATTTTTTTCTTCGATTGTCCAAAACAGGTGGATAATTTTGGCACAGTCAACCTTGTTGAAGCGTGTCGTAAACAAAGTGTAAACAGATTTATTCTCATCAGTTCTATTTTAGTTAATGGAGCTGCAATGGGACAGATACTCAATCCAGCTTACATATTTCTTAACGTTTTCGGACTTACCTTAGTAGCCAAGCTTCAGGCAGAGCAATATATCAGGAAGTCTGGAATAAACTATACAATAATAAGGCCAGGCGGGTTGAGAAATGAGCCTCCAACAGGAAATGTTGTGATGGAGCCAGAGGTGACATCATTTGTTCATATGAAATTTTATCAATTTTTTTAGGCCATTACGTACTAAAACCTTTAGTTCCATGTTTTATGTTCTCTTCTGCAGGACACTCTTTATGAAGGCACCATATCGAGGGATCAGGTAGCAGAAGTAGCCGTTGAGGCATTAGAGCATCCTGAATCACACTACAAAGTTGTGGAAATTGTTGCACGCGCTAACGCTCCAAAGCGTTCTTACCAAGATCTTTTTGGTTCCATAAAGCAACGGTAACCATCACATTTGAATTCAAAACACTTTTCAGGTGGACAGATTTTCCAAGTTTCTAGTTGCTTTTAGTGGCAGACATGTTATCGCGTGTGGTCCTCTTGGTATGATTATTTCTGTTGCCTGTTGGCATGATAATATTATACTTTTTTTTTTTATGGTTCCGTGTAGACGTAATATTACAGGGTAAGCTACTATTTCCACAGTTTTCCCATAGCATGTACGATAATAGTCATGAAATTCTGTGCAAACGAATATACTAATTTTGTTATGCTAATTTGACTTTGAGTCCTTAATTCACCTGACTGAAATAAAGAAATCATTTTCAAAATTTGATACTCAGAAAGACAAATCAGTTATTGCACATCACCCAAGCAAGGCTTCAGTGGAATGGCTCTAGCCTGTCTTGACTATCTTTTGCTTCCACTTTGGATCGATCTTTTATTTAATTGATTCTCTACTGTTGCTTTGAAAGCGTTCACATTCTTTGGGTAGCAGGGCACTCAAGGTCACTCAAGCTGCCATATTTTAGTCGGTTTTGCGAGTAGTTTAAATTCTATTTCTCTAGGATAATGGTGGTAGGATAGCAAGAGGAATAATAACAGATACGAGAAGTATCCCCTTGATTTTGTTAGTGTTCACCTATATCTTATATCTTAGTTCTTTATTCTATGCTAGTTTAAATATATCTGCGATTTTTCAAGAAAGCCGATGATATCTGAACATGTTGAGGTTGCCACATAGCTTCTCATGTTGTTAGTATGATGTATCTGTTCTTTCTATTTACTCTCTCTACGTTCTTGTTGCGAATGATGCCCTTGATTTTACAACTCAGAAACTCAAAACTCATCAGAAAAGAAAAATAGAGCAAAACAAAAATAAAGGCATGGTACCCTTGTTTAAGATTCAATGATTTGAATTGACAAGGGATGTCACATAAAAGTCATTGTAGAGACTCATCAAGTGAACAAAAACAATAAACAATGAAACAATTAAAGTTCAGACTTTAGAAGAACCAAGCAATCAAAGAAACTGTGGCCGCAAGTGCAGCTGGAACACCGAGAGCTTCTGCAGCGCTTTGCATTGGAGCCGGCGGAATTGCTCCAACGTCTTCAACTCCAACTGTGGCTCCGAAAGTAGAAAAAGCGAGAACAACCACAAGGTAGATGGTGAAAGCCACGGCTAATTTGCAGCTCTCCATGACTCAAACTCTGAGGTACTAACAAAAGGGGAAATGCTTTGATGGGCAATTCGTGGAAGTGGATTTTGTATTTGTGAGGAGAAATGAGACTGCATAAGAATGCTTATATAGGAAGAGCTTGTGGAAATAGCAAGAATCTGCCAGCTATATTATGTTGGTTAAACAGCAAGCAGAATCATTTGAAGGATAGTGGGCTTTGGTTTAAATTTTAAGTTCACTTAAACTAAAATCTGTACCAGCCTTGGCAAACTGTGTAACGGCACCAGCAATCAAGTAGTATAATGACACTTAACCTCTCTCTCTTTTTTTTTTTCCTTTCCTTTTTTAAGTCTAATATGACACTTAACATAGGACTTGGTAATGAGAATGCTTGTGCTTTTGGCATCTTATGATCAAAATATAAGTACCTACTAAGCCTAATCATGACAAAAGGCTAAGCTCTTTTAAGGTATGGGGGCCATGTTACTGTATCTTGGTTGAAGATTGTCAACAATATTATAAGGCTTTTTCTCTACTAGGCTTTTGTCTTTATTCTCGTCTTGAAAATGTCCACATATATTTTCCAGCATCCAAATCAAAAGAAGGCCTAGTTTGGCAGTGATTCGAAGTAGCCTAAACTTAGAGCCTGTTTGGTTGGAGGATTCGTTCTCTAATTTAAATTATAGTTCATGGTTTGCTATAGTATTTTTTGTCATAAAAAATACACGTAAATCGAAAATGATTTTAATCTCATGGTTCTAATCCATGAATCAATTTTTGGTTTGCTATAGTATTTTTTGTCATAAAAAATACACGTAAATCGAAAATAATTTTAATCTCATGGTTCTAATCCATGAATCAATTTCATGGTTCTAATCCATTAATGATGCTAACGTTACCATATATATGCTTAAATTTTACACCAAATGTAGATATATTTTAAATTTTGGCATTTAATTGTTATTAAATAGTGTATTCAGTTTCTCATTTGATCATTATGATATTGTCATTTTCAAATTATCTTATTTAGTAAAAAATAAAATAAAATATTAAATTTGTTATAAATTGTCATTTTCACAGTTCTTAGTATGAAAAATAGCACTGACCGTCATTTTCATCATTTTTAGTACCAAATATAGCATTAATACTTGGGTGGGTGATGTTCTAATAAATTCTAACTTTCAAATAACTACATGTTTTTGTTTTTCTTTCCATATTGAAAATTAACCTCTGCCAAATTTTACATCAACGAGACCTTTCCGTTGGAGTGTTTTCTTACTTAAATAACAAATTTTCACCTTCAAATAGTGGAAAATGGATTTTTTTTTTTTTTTTTGGGTATTACTCGGTGGAAAATGGATTTTAACCCATGAAGCATGAGACCAAAAATCCGATAAGTTGTATATGTTTACAGTATAGTGCGTGTAAAGAAAAAGTTTGTAGGCTTGTAGCATACACGTATCACTTTACCCCCCTTTTTAAGTTTTAACCAAAAAAAAATACCCAAAATAAAAACCCATTCTATCGTACTTTCTCTCGAAAAATAAGAATCAGAGACGTTTTTCCCAAGTAGGACAAACATCAACAAAATGAGTGATCCCAAAGGCTGCCGGCCAAGAATCTCACCGCCGACAACCAAACCTCGACTGCGGGAGATCGAAGTCCTCATAATCTCCGCCGAAGGCCTCAAGAACGTGAAGCACGCGACCAAGATGAGGACCCACGCGCAGGTCTACGTCGAGAAGGACCGCCACGTGGCGACCACCCACTTGGACGAGAAAGGCGGGACCAACCCCACGTGGAAAGACATCGTCAAGGTCAAGTTCCGGGAGGATCCGCGGGAGAGTGACGTCATAGCGGCGCTGAACGTGGACATCTACGCGCGTGGGCGCGTGAGGGAGAAGCCCGTGGGGAGCGCTCGGGTGCTCCTCTGTGACGTCCTCAAGGGTGGGGACGCGGCCGACCCGGCGGAGAACCCGGTTCAGGTGTGGCGGCGGTCGGGGCGGCCGCAGGGGCTGCTCAACCTGTGGGTCCCACCGACAGGGAGGTTTTTGATAAGAAGGGTGTCTTTGTCGTTTAGTGTGAAAGAGACGGCGGAGGAGACCGTGGTGATTGGTGGCGGCGCCGGAGAGGAGGTGGTCATGGTAAAGACTGATCAAGAGTAGCAAGGAATAGTCCAGAATATGATTTAGATAGAGTGGCCATGTGAGGTTTTAGCGGTGGTTTTTACTTTTTTTACATGCAGTATTGCATGTTAGCCACGTACGTAGTTTTTGCAGTGTAAAAAAGCGTTTTGTTTTTGTTTTGTTTTGTTTTTTTGTTGGGCTAAGTGTACTAAGCGTTGAGAGGTAGCTGTGAATTTTGTGCACTTGGTTTTAGAAATATTGTTCATACTTTTGTGCAGTGGAATAACATGCGTTTAATTTATTTTTATTTTTATTTTTTATTTTTTTTTCCAACAAGTATATGTACGTAGATGTATCATGTATAGGAGAATTACGAAATATATAAACAGAAAGTTAGCAGTACTAGTGTTAAAAGTTATCTGCGGCGAAAGAGGTAGGGTTGTTCTTTTGAAGTGTAACTTGAGTGTAATTTAAGTGTAATTTTTAAATTGAATTTAAGTTAGGACTTGAGTTGAAGTTGTAACTTAAATAAAGTTGAATAAAGTTGAATAAAGTTAGAACTTAAAAAAACGTGAATTTAAATAAAGTTGTAACTTGAGTTTAAACTTTTTTTAAATTTTATTGTAAAAGAACAACCGAAAAGAATTCACTCACCTGTACTTCTGTGCGAAGAAGATGAAGAAGAAACAAAAGTTGGTAGAAAAAATTTCGAATGAGTGAACGAGAAGATATATAAAATAATGAACTATATATCGAAAAGAGACATGATGGTGATCAAAGAAATGAAACTAATTGCTTACTAATTAGGAAATTCTCCTTTTATCATTTCGGGCTGAAAATTAGAGGAGAGTTTTTGTGCACAAAAGATCAGTCAACCCAAAAAAAAAAAAAAAAAGATGAAAAATAGGGTTAAATTAAAAGGGAACGTGAAAGCAAATTAAAAAGATTATATGCAGCCTTATAATTTGAGAAGGAGGAACGTGGAACAGAATTATTTGTATATATATGCGTTTTTTTCCCCTCAATTTCATAAATGAGATGAAAAGAAAAAAAAAAACTTCTGTTCAAGGCCGAAGCTCTATAGTCAACTCCCTTTCAAATGAAACAACAACGAAGAAAAGGCATTTCCTAAGAAAAAAGAAAAGAAAAGAGAGAAGAAATGTAATTATAGCTCATTATTAGTTTATTTCTTTCTCTCAACTAACACATGTGACTCCGTGGCCCAATGGATAAGGCGCTGGTCTACGGAACCAGAGATTCTGGGTTCGATCCCCAGCGGAGTCGTTTATAACATTTTTCTAATTTCTTTATATAATTGCACGGCATAAATAAGTTAACTCATCTCTTTTTTATTATATGCAAATTACATGGTTGCTCCTTAAAGTATAGATTTTTTCACAAAATGCTTTTGAAATTTAAAATTTAATTTTTTCTCCCTCAAACATTAGTAATTCTTCTAAATTTTTCCCTTTATTAAATTCTTCATGGAAAATACGGTGTAAAATGAAAAAATTAACAAAAGAACTCCTTAGGTAAAATGAAAAAATTAACAAAAGAACTCCCCAACAGAGTCGTTTATAACATTTTTCTAATTTCTTTATATAATTGCACGACATAAATAAGTTCACTCATCTCTTTTTTATTATATGCAAATTACATGGTTGCTCCTTAAAGTATAGACTTTTTCACAAAATGCTTTTGAAATTTAAAATTTAATTTTTTTCTCCCTCAAACATTAGTAATTCTTCTAAATGTTTCCCTTTATTAAATTCTTCATGGAAAATATTGTGTAAAATACAAAAATTAACAAAAGAACTCCTTATGTTAAGATTTTCAACATAAATAACATGTATTATTCAAATAATGAGCACCGTTTGAATAATTTTTTTATTAATAATTTGTAAAAAATTATTAATTATTAGTTTGTTGTTAATTAGTGAGAAGGTTTAAATTGACATTTTATGTCTTAAAAACTAGTCTC